TATCTTAAATATATTTATTATTTATGTTATTTCTTTACCAATTCTATACACTCTACACTCTGTCTCACAGCTTTTTTATTATTTGTCTTACAGCTTTTTGGTAACATTGGAAGTATATCCCAGATAGAATCCTTCTTGTCTCCTTCTTGGTATTTTCTGTGCTCATCAGAGAGCTTGTAAAAAAGGTCTATCACGTGTTACTTCTAATAAGATGTTTAGCATCTTGCACAGGGGTTATCCTTAGAAACATTTTACACAGCTTTTGAATTGTATAGAAGAAGGCTCAGAGCTGGCTACAACCTCACAGGTAGACCTGTACATAAAAGAGATGTCTACATTGGGTTAAAAATCAGCAAATTGTCCAGAGCCAGCAGAAGCTTCCTGGTAAGTGGTAGTAACTGGTCTTTCAGAGTCAAATCCCACACAGAGTTAACTGTGATATATTGTCACCAGAATGGAGAATTAAAAGGTTTACATTTAGGCTTTACTGCCTGTATCCCATTTCAGCCATAGATTCACCAGATATTAGCGTCTCACTATTAATATAGTTTCCTCTCACTAAATTTGGTTTTATAGCAAAGCAAAGGTTTCTTCTGAAAGCAATTATAACCACTAAAATATCACAATCTTTTTAAACTTGACAATCAAAGCAAAATTGTTCACAACTATTTGAATGAAATAGAATAGAACTATTTAGGATATGATCCTACCACCATTTTTGCATGGATAACTCTCATCAATTTCATTGGAATTCTTGCAGTAACTTATATACAGAAGTGCAACCTAAGGATATAAACGCTATGCATAAGTTCATTGGCAGGACATGTTTCTTTGAGGAAATTCTCTGTTATAAATGTATTTTTAGGTATTTATTCCATCTTTATAATCAGTTTTTGATTTCTTAAAATATAGTTGAGGGACCCAGTAGATAAAAAGATAAACAAAGAAATATTCAGCTTTTTTCAGCAATAGAAAGTAGGAGCTTCTGGAAAATTACAAGTATGAAATAGTAGCCTGGGAAGGAATGGATTATTCAAGTGTCTAGTCTTCTTGATAAAAATGATCTACTCTTCCCAGTCTACCTGCCTCTCACACATAAGCAACTTTAAGCATCTGGCTGTGTTTGCATAATTATTCAGACCAATCCTGGTTAAAAATTACTTTCTAGGTGTGCCTGTGCTCATGTATAAAAAGAATTATACATCTCTACATAACATGGTGAACCTTAGGGTTCAGAGGTCTGTTAAACACTCAGCTGCATGTTATTCTAACTGCAAGATCACCAAACACTTAGCTGTAGCAGAAGCAAAGTTATTGCTGTAACCATTGTACTGTTACCTGACGCAGATTCCTGGTTACTTTCACATCATGCCAGGCATTGTCATTAAATTTCCCATTCACAGGTTCCACCAGTGCTTCAAAGGCCCCTGAGCCCAAATTAATAACTAAGGAGACAGCTCCATTTTTCAGGGCAAGGTTGACATAATCAGCTGATTTCCCGGTGTGAAGCATTAGTCCATTCCTCTGTAGAGTTTTAAAGGACAGAGTTATTTCGTCGCTGCTGCTTTGGATAGGATTCTGGGAAAGGTCATAGCAGAAATACTCTGATCCTTTGAATGTTGCAATATATTCTTCTTTTCCTAAGTAAACAAGAAAAAGAGAAAATCTTTGTAGTTAATTGATTCTTGCACGTACAAAAATGAAAAATACAATAATTAAACTTTTTTTCCCCTAATGCAAGTATCATAAGGATTCTTGTATTCAGTAAGGTTATTCCTTATTGAAATAAAAATTAATAATTACCAAATTATGTTTTGTTGAGGACCCTTGGTTAAAAAAATCTTGTGTATAAGCTTTAAACTAAAGTATGGATTCTTCAGCAAAGCCTGCAGACCAACTTACTTCACATTTGGCGAAATTGCAAAGTTACTATCATTACTATATGTTGTCATTATTGCTATACATATTTATATGTTGTAAAGACATTTTGAAGCACTCACAATGTCTTCAAATTAAGCGATAAATAATTCAAGTACAAATTATACACATAGAGACTTGGGTGAAGTGAGATCTCAAATGGCTATTAAAAACAAGTATTAATGGGTGGAAGAAAGGATAACAAAGAATGTATGGCACAACATACAGAGCATCCATGCATGGCTTGGCACATCACTTATCTGAAAAACCATCTGAAAATAAAATTATATCTCTAGATAAGAGTTCTCTGTCCTTTATATATATGGAGCTAAAGAGAAGCTGGGGAAATCCTCATGGCTCTCTATGTATGAAATGATCAAATAGATCAGGGGTCCCCAAACTTGGCAACTTTAAGCATAGGTGGCTGGAGAATTCTAGGAATTGAAGTCCACAAATCATAAAGTTGCCAAGTTTGGAGACTTCTGAAATAGATCATCAGATTTATGAGACCTTAGATTCCACAGATATAAATAGCAGCTTGTCAGAGCTGATGGTATAGTGCCATCTAGCAGCATTATAACAACCAGATCCGCATATGACTTCAATTAGTTATTTTATTGCTTATGCCTATAACACAGGAATCTTCTCAGACTGGTGGTTTGTACCTGGGCCAGACTAGATTAGGTTCAACAGGATTCAAAGTGGGGGGGGGACGTTACCTTTTGAACCTATGTTTAGATTCCAGACTAATTCCCCACATGACTTCTCATCCTAGCTCAAACAATCTCTTCTCCAACACATAATAATCATTATGGAGTCATCTGTATTTTGGAGCAAGCCCTAGCAGATGGTCAACAGTGGATGAGACAGGAATATCTAATAAGCTGTTCACTTGAACTAGTGCCAAAATATCTACCACTTGACTCTCTTGGGAGAGCCACCAAGATATCTCTCTCTCTCTCTCTCTCTCTCTCTCTCTCTCTCTCTCTCTCTCTCTCTCTCTCTCTCTCATATGCAAGGAGTTTATGTTTTTGTACAGGAAAGTTGAAAACTATCATTTAATCTGCAACTCTTACACTGCAAAAACATATGGACTGCACAACTCAATCAGGACAAAACAATAGACGCAATCTACATAGACTTCTGTAAAGCCTTTGATTCAGTGGTAAACGACAAACTACTCCTAAAACTAAAATCTTACGGTATCTCTGGACACCTGCATTACTGGATAGAAGCATTCCTGTCAAACAGACAACAAATGGACAAAATTGGGAGCGTTCTATCAAATTCTGTACCTGTCAACAGTGGTGTCCCCCAGGGCAGTGTTCTAGGACCAACTCTTTTCATATTCTACATAAATGACCTCTGTGATCATATCAAGAGCAACTGCATTCTCTTCGCTGATGATGGAAAGCTATTCAACACCACAGACAATATTGCCACCCTTCAAAAAGACCTTGATTATGTATCAGAATGCTCAAACAAATGGCAACTTCAAATCTCAACAAATAAATGCTCTGCCCTACATATTGGCAAAAAAAATCAGAAAATAAAATACAGGCTGAATAGTCAAGACCTTGTTGATGATCCAAACTCTGTCAAGGACCTTGGAGTACTCATCTCAAATGATCTAAGTGCTAGAGCCCACTGTAACTACATAGCCAAAAAGGTGTTGTTAAGAGTTGTTAACCTAATCTTACGTAGCTTTTTCTCTGGTAATATTACACTAATAACTAGAGCATACGAAACATTTGCTAGACCAATACTCGAATACAGCTCATCAGTCTGGAACCCGCATTACGTATCTGATATTAACACAGTTGAGAAAGTCCAGAAATATTTCACAAGAAGAGTTTTCCACTCCTCTACTCTTTGCAGAATACCTTATGCCACCAGACTCGAAATTCTAGACCTACAAAACCTAGAACTACGCTGCCTTCGGTCCGATCTAAGTATAGTATATAAAATCATACATTGCAATGTCCTACCTGTCAATGAATACGTCAGCTTCAACCATAATAACACTAAAGCAAACAATAGATACAAGCTCAAGGTTAATCACACCAAACTTGATTGCAGGAAATACGACTTCAGCAACAGAGTGATCAATGTCTGGAATACTCTACCTGACTCTGTGGTTTCTTCCCCAAACCCCAAAAACTTTAACCTTAGACTGTCTACTATTGACCTCACCCCTTTCCTAAGAGGTCTTCAGGGGGCATGCATAAGCACACCAACATGCCTACCGTCCCTGTCCTATTATTTCTTTTATATATATATTTTTATTTTTCTTATATGTATCCATGTATTCATAACTATGTTTTTACTTATACCCATTATCTTGTAAGCAATTGACAAATAAAAATAAATAAATAAAAATAAAAATAAAGATATGTTCATTGTAGGATAGAAATTACAAAATAGCTCCCATTTCTAAAAGATTGTTCTACTATTCATCATCCATGAAAGTATTATCAATTCTGAAATTTGACTATATCTATTTCTTTTCGCATTAATTTTCCTTATGTATATCTCTTTCTACTAAAATTATTGCAAGAAAAAAGCAACAGTTATGACTGCACTAATTCCAAGTCTCCAAATTATTGAAGCCAAATCTTGAGATTTTTTTTCATTATTCAGTAAAAAAAGATAAAATGAGATGAACTGAAGTAGACAAAAATTCTGCCAAAGAACCCCTATAATCTTCACACATATATAAAATCCAGCAACAACAACAACAACAACAACAACAACAACAACAACAACAATAGAAAGGATTTGTAGGGTTTACCTTTAGAAACAATGCTAGCAAATCATCAGGCAAAATGAGGGCTAATATGACTACTTTGACAAGTTATGAGATAAATCGATGAGGGTTGAGGCTGTTAATCATGATCAATTCTGATAGTTATATACTTTAAAAATAACTATGACTCTAAAAATTAGAGAATATGAGCAATAGATAATAATATACTCATACCATGCTTGTGCATTTTCCATAGATATCTGACAGCTCAATGTGGGAAAAATGTAAGGCTGAACAGATAGAATTTCAAACATTTTGAACAGTTTTCTGATTAATGTCATAATTTTAATTTGGAACAATAATGTCTTTGAGAAGACATTTTACAGTTTATGTAGACATATCGAACATACTTGGTCATTTTGATACTGTATGGGTTGGACTGAATTTTTTTCTTCACTGGCAATAAACACATATTAAATTTTATTCTATGGTCATGCTAGTTATAAATAAAGTATTATTTGTATGATATTACACCATCTCATTTAGCAATATAGAATTTTCCTTTCTTTATTTTCCAATATTAAGTTGACTTATAATGGATTTCCAACATTTTCAGGAGTGGTTCATTTTAAGTTTAGCACAAAACTCTCCCTAATATAATAAAGGATTTGTTTTGCTGTTCCATATCACGTTATTAGGTAATGCAGCTGGCTTCTGCCACAAGCTCCTGAAATCCATCTTAAAAATTAATAGAAGATTGCAGAAATGATGATATCTAGTGATTAAAAGCAGACTTCCTATATTGGGAGTTTGTTTTATTAAAAAAATCACAGAAAATGGAGGAATGTTGAGTGGGGCAAGCAAGCGGGCAGCGACCGTCAAACGACCGGACCGGTTTGTGGGCATGGCCAGCCAGAAGTCACTCCCGGTTTGGCAACCCACACCAAATTCTTGCTACCAGGTCACCCAAACTGGTGCAAACCAGCTGAATAGCACCTCTGGGCTACCACAAAGAAGAGGGGATCAACCTATTCTTCAAAGCACCAGACAGCAAGAGAAGGAACAATGGATGGAAACTAATCAAGGAGAGATCCAACTTAGAAATAAGGAAAAAATTCCTGACAGATACAACAATTGATTGATTTCCCTCCAGAAACTATGGGTGCTCCATCAATGAAGGTTTTTAAGAAAAGATTGGTATAGGGTCTCCTGTATGAGCAGGGGGTGGACTGAAACACCTATAAGGTCTGCTTCAACTCTGTTATTCTGAATTCTTATGACTTAGATTTATGTTGCTTCTTCTGAATCAGTATGTCAGTGAATTATGCACTAATAGAATATGCCTTTAGTAGTAGATTTCCATTCCCTTAAGATATTAAAATAAGGTTTTATGTGTTGCAATGCCACAGTGTATTATTAAAAAGACCCTACCGTGTTGTTCGTTAATAGTCAGCTCATGGAATACAACAAAATCATTCTTCCTTTCACTTAATCTATTATCTTTCTAAGGAGTGACTAACTTTTATGATTCTTAATCAATGTTTTCTGTACATGAAGAAAGCATGTCCATGATGCATTTTTGCACATTTTTTGCATGCAGAAATACATGCCTTGGCCAGTCAGAGCTTGGCCAGTGGTTGATCTATCTATCTTATCACTGAATTTAGTTATAAAATATCTACTGTCTGTCTCAAGGTGAACGAAGCTGTATTGAGAAATACAGTAGCAGTGGCAATAGGTGCCATTCTATGAATCAAACAGGCCAACTAGTTTTATTTATGGCAAGCCTAGTAAACAAGAAGCATAACTCTTGTGAGATGAAATAATAATAATAAAAAATATATGGTACAGTGACCATTCATTACACTCTCTCTTTTATAATGACCACTATAGAGATATTTGTTAGATATCAAAGAATACTAGGAGAAACATCCAAACTATTGCAGTGGTCTCCTTTTGGGGCTGATGGTATAACTG